CTTGAAAAAAATGAATGTTATTCATTACTTATAAGTCTAATGAGCTGAGTATTAATAGTGTAAATCATTACTACAGAGCTATTTGTCAATGATAACTTGGAATATTTTGTCTGTATTCATTTATATAGAGTAAAAATTTATTTCAAGAACTTGGAGTGTCTCGGCGCATGAAGACATGAGTCTGTTTCACACAGTGACGAGTCTGTTGTATACTTTACCAAATGTTTGCTTATATATGTAAAGAATCTGTTGTGAGTAACACCTGAACAAATTAACAAAGAACACATTTTTAGCATTTTTGTGCTTTGCCACATTTCTGGTTTGAAACCATATGCAGTGTATCCATGTGTGAAAGACAAAAGAGTATTTTTCCCTTTTTTCAGTTCTCACCCCCTCCATTGTTAGCCACTACGTTGCTCTCTACCTTATATTTTTTTTTAAATGTATACTTACGCCGCCCTATTTATGAGCTCACAAAGTGCTTTTTAATATAAACATCTGGTATTTTTTCATTAATTTTATTATTATCTTATTGTGCTTTTCATTGCATTGTTTTGTGTTGTTTTGGTGATTTTTGTAATTGATACAAAAAAAATCCCTCACAAAGTAGAACAAGAACATAAGAGTGTACTCATTGTTTTCAGTGTGTGTGTGTGTGTGTGAGTGTGTGTGTGTGTGTGTGCATATGTGTGAGCTGTTCATATCATACTGTGCAAGAGTGTGTTATTGCATGAATTAAAGTCATTCAGAATACAGCGTTCGATGTTGGAAATGTCGTAGTAAAGAGTATTTTTAAATGCTGAAAATGACATGATATGAAACATGATATATAGACCAAACTTTTCTTTTCTTTTTTTTTCAAAAATTAAATAAAACGTGACTGGAAAATGCTCAGAAATGTGTGTTTCTTTTCTAATAATGGAGAGAAAGGCTTTTTTCAGCATTAAGATGCTTATTTTAGTAAATAAATCAATCATGTTTGAGATAAGTGTTTACCCTGAGTGTATACCTGTAATTGCAATCTATAAAAATGTTCATCTACAGTTTCTGCAGCAGACATCCAAAGAAAGCAATATTTTACTTAATTTAGAAAATTAAAAGCCATTTTCAGCCTGAGAGTTTTACACTTAAAACCAGCTGACAGTTTTTATTACATGTTTTGTAACAGTCTTTTCATTAACATTAATATTGGCCATTAGATCAAGGATCTAATGATGTGCTACTCTGAGAGTGGGTTACCTGCAAACCTGTGAACATGAATGTGTCATCAACAAACAAAGTCATCAAAATGATTGGCCATGTTATCACTAAAACAACATTTGTCTATTTGAATATATTTATGTACGGGATGGTTAAAGCTCAGGGGGTAGAGTAGGTAGTCTACTGATCGGAAAGCTTGTGGTTCAATCCCCCAAGTTGCTCTCCGATGTATCCATCAGTGTGAATGTAGGTAAGTGTTAGATAGAAAGCTTAAAGTGTTTGTGTGAATGGTTGTGAATTGGTGAATGAGGTATTCTGGGGAGAGTAGAAAACTGAAATATAAGAACTGGTTCAAGCATTTGTAATATATATGAATGAACTAGTTCCTAGAAGATATGGAGGATAAAAGTATTCAACAGATCCAGTATATTACAGTCTGATCATCATGATCTAACTTATAAAAAGGGAAACAGAACTGAATTCAGTTATGTGCATGTTTTTTTAAAATTATAATTGGAGTATTTTAGGGAATTTTTAGATGATGTGGAGGTTGAACACAGTGTTGCAGAAAAATTAAGCCTCTTTGTGATTTCTTAAGCTTTTTGCTTATTTGTCAGACTTACAAGTTTCAGATAATCAAATAAATCTTAATATTAAACAAAGACAAAGCGTGTAAACGCTAGATGCAGTTTTTCAATGATGATTTCATTTATTAAGTGAAAAGGCTATCCAACCCTACCTGGCCCTGTAAAAGCACTAATTGCCCTCTTAATCTAATAACACTTTGGGCCACCCTTGGCAGCAAGAACTGTAATCAAGCATTTGTGATAACTCTAAATGAGTCTTATAAATCACTGCAGATGAATTTTTACCCACTCTTCTTTGCAGAATTCTTTTAATTCAACCACACTGGAGAGTTTTCATCATTCAGGCCCTTAAACAGCAAAGCAGCCCCAGACCATCACACCACCACCAACATGTTTGACTGCTTTCATGATGTTCTTTTTATGAAATGCTCTGTTAGTTTTGAATCGTCAGTCCACAGAACATTTTTCCAATAATATTGGGTTTTGGGGGTTTTTGGTTTTCTTCTTCTAACTCTCCCATGGGTGATATTTTTGCCCAGTCTCTTTCTTATTGTTAAATTATGAACTCTGAACTTAACTGAGATAGGTCAGGCCTGCAGTTCTTTAGATGTTCTTCTGGGTTGTGACCTCCTGGATGAGTCGTTGATGCGCTCTTGGAGTAATTTTGGTAGGCCAGCCACTTGAGGAAAGGTTCACCACCATTCTAAAAATGCTGGCCAAAAAAAGCTGCAGGACTCTCAGCTTGACAAGCTCAAGCTTTTGTTAATAACAGGACACGGACATGCCCACTGAAACATCGAATAGATTCCAGTGGAATCAGAGTCAAGCAGAATCACACCTGCCACTGACAACTGCCAAATGTAGCCATAAGATGGCAGTAATTTAAAGGATGGATGCAAACAGGTGAGAAGCTTTATGACAAAATTCTTTGAGATGCAATAAGCGACAACGTTGCTGCTAGACACCATGTTGGATCAATCATAGCCAAACTTAACGGCTTTTTTTCAGGTATGACAACATTATACAGGTCAGGTTTTAAAGGAAACATAATCCACTTATCATGCTTTTAATTTGCATTTAGCTGTTTTCCTCCATGACTGTACATATATCCATCCATCCGCTTCCGCTGAACTCTGGGTTCAGGGTCGCGGGGGATGCTGGAGCCTATCCCAGCTGTCATAGGGCAAGAGGCGTACACCCTGGACAGGTCGCCAGTCTGTCACAGGGCTAACACACAGAGACAAACAACGATTCGTGTTCACATTCACACCTATGGGCAATTTGGATTAATCAATTAACCTATCCCCACAAACTGCCTGTCTTTGGACAGTGGGAAGAAGCCGGAGTACCCAGAGAGA